TTAACCACGCTTCAGGGGATCCGTAAACTAAGGAATATTCGCCGCTTTCGACACGAGTGCGTTTACCACCCTCAAGTGAACTTATGTTACCAGCTTTTAGCCCTAGCTCCCTCAAATGGGACACTTGGTCGTTCATAAGGCTTTCCCCAATGGTGAGACAACGACGACGATATGACCAGGCTCTTGTGAGGTAAGATCAAACACGAGTGGTAGTGCTTCATACAGGAGAGATTTCCCGAAACCAGTAGGAAGATTGACAAATACATCCTTTCTTTCCTCAACTATTTTCCTAACTCCAGTTTTTTGCTGCTCATTTAAACTAGGAATTCAAAATGTATTACTAACAAAGTCAAACGCTTCTTCAAAGGACGCCATTTTGAAAGCTTTGAACTCGAAGATGAAACAAATAATATGATTGGTTAGACTACTTTGGCGCGCACAGTTCTCAACAGATGTAACCCAAATGATGATTGGTTTAAGTAGGGGAAAGGAATGTTGTACGATTGTGAGCAGCCGTTTGTGGGGAGAAGCGTTGCGTGACGAGACTAAAAACGGCTGCGAGGGAGACTAGTAAGACGGGCATATACTGGAAAATTTCTTTCTAGGAATTCGATTCTAGGAATCAGTTCATAACAGTTAAAATTGGTTCTGTTGCTTCTACGAATTTGTATGCATTGTTTAACCCGTTTTAAACCTGAAAAGGTAAATTCTTGAAGAGCTTAATTATTCGTGAAAGAAATAATTGTGATCATACCACTGGAATAAAAACACCAACTTTTCCTTTACATCTTTCGACATTCTAAACAAGAAAGAAGTCCTATAAAGGTTTCAGTTAGACGAGATTGACGAGTCTCATCTTGAGAACTTTCTTTATTGACGAAGAAAGTCCTTTGGTTAGTGGTTAAAGTAGTGCCATATATCTTAATTGCACACGAATTTGTGAGTTGAACGTCATCATCCGATTTGGTCCACCTGTTATAAACAAAAGTTCAGCAGAGTTTTTTAGCGTAAAATGCTTTCTGAGAACAAAAGAAAGAAGAACTCATGCTACATCAGCTGCAGAAATTTGAGTGTTTATTATACAAGGATATCACCGAAAATGTAGTAAATACAAAATTAAGCAAGCAATTTTATTTCCTCCGCCGATTTAGAATTTAATGATTGAAGTTCTTTCTTTCACTCAAACGAATCTCAATAGAGGCTATATTTTACAAACGAAACACTCTTTCAACCTTCATGATCGCTTTTGTTATTCCAGTAATGGTCAATAGAAACTGGCACAAGCTTAAAATCCAGCTGAAGTATGATAAAGCAACGTCTCTGTAAACCTGGTATTTGATGAGGTTTTGCTCCGCAACTCAGCTGGGCCTCGTATTAACCGGTAAGCCGCCTGAAGAGGTTTCGCTACACCTATTATTCACTGCAGGGCATTCAATTAATTTTCATTCAAGTTTGCACGTTTGAGCCAATCAGATCTATCTCTTGACACACACAAGCTTTGTTTACTGGTTCACCTTTTGTAATTCTCTATAACTGGAAACAGGGACTTTCCCTTTTGTAAACATTGGTTCACTGTTTGTATTTATGTCTTGGAAACAGCAAGTCAGGGTCTGTTGGCGTTTCGAGGAACAAAGCCGCCTTGTAACTGAATGTCTGAAATAAAGTTCCTGCTCGCTCATGCTTTAATTTGCCTAAATCCAGCTGTCGTTACCACTTTTCAAACCCACTTTGTTTAAGAATAAGTAATAAAAAATACTCCTCTAATCGAATGCGCTGACAATCCTGTGTTTCTGTGGAAGTCTTGTAAAACAGCCTTCAAAGTTATAGACTGAGCACGTGATGTTCGCGACATTCCTGGGCTCTCATCCGTTAATTTGTCTTAATGCGGTAAAAGGGGGTTTTCCCTAATAAAGAGGGCACTGAAAACACCCAGTTGTTTTTGCTCAAGGTTAGCTTTTCATTTTAACAGTTTTCCTTAAATGATGATTATTGAAAAATTAATGAAAAGAGATAGAGTCTGCAGGATAGTTTGCATCTGGAAATTACAGCTTCAACGATGAAATGCTGTAATCTGCTTTAAGTGAAGCGATTTAAAACCAAGGGTTGTTTACCCCAGCCAGACGTGCAAAATTTGATTTCATTCTAGCCCCATGATTGCATTATCAAATAATAGGCTAAAAAAAACAAAAACAGAACACTGACATGTATACGCTAGGATTTTATTTTACTTGAAAAAGGTTGCAATGACTCTACTCAAGGGAAATGCTGATAAGCATGAGGTTCGCTGTTTGTATTTTTTTCAGTGATACTCCTCGCTGTGTTGTATAATGTTACTGTCTTGCTTTGTTTTTCTGGTTTGTTCTCCGACAAATTGCTGCTACACATACTCAGCCTTTTAACTTAGGGCAAAATGAAGCCTTTTAAGTTGCAAAATATAAGGTTACGGTGAGTGATTTTACCAAATCGTGTTACAGTTAATTCGTTACTTAGGCACTTTAAGCCTTTCTTTACTGCTGTCTATTAATGTAATGTTATTTACTGATGTTAACTAACCGCATTAAATAAAGGTGTGGTTAAATAACCAAAGAAATGTTTACCGTAATAAAAGACAAAAAACATTTTACAAGTTTGATTCTCTAAGAAAACGCTACTCCAAAGTCATAAGACACGAATCCTCTATAACGGAGATAAAAATGACATCATTAGATTTGTCCGTCTTGTTTGGACATTCAAGGATGCAATGGAAAATACATTCAGTCTGATTAAATCATTTCAATTGCTACAAACTGAAAGAGGCAAACTATAACTTTACTGAGAACTGAAAACTCAGAATCTACTGACGGTTGTTTTACAGCTACAGAAAAATTTCAAGCGATCAAAGCCTGAGTTGACAAATGCAAGGGATGAAAGATCGAAATCTATGGCCGCTGTGAAAGGGAAAGCAATGAACACTAAACGTTTAAGTCAACTTGTCATCATTCGTATCCGCTCCGGTTCTCTAGATCTTTGAAAATGCTAACACTCCAAAGAATAACTTAGTTGAGGGGTATACAAGATCAAATTTATGCATTTCAATACTACAACTATTGTTGTAAAACTGTCGAGCTACCGATAATACGATTACGATTACAATGACGACACTATGTACCTTCCTTAGTTACTACTAAAAGTTCAACACTAATAAGGGCAACAACATATAAATCAATTATT